GGGGGCGGCGGCCGCCGGGACGAGCCTCGCCGACGCGGCTTCTCCCGCGAGCTCTCCCCAGGCTCCCGGGCCCTGCGGCTCCTTCCCGAGCTCGGACTTGCAGGAGGGCGATCTTGAGAGCGCGGCGGCCGCGGAGGCGCCCCTGAGAGGGCAGCGCAAGGTGACCGCCTCCCCGGGGACGGCCGAGGCCGGCGCGGGCCGCGGGTTGCGTCCCACCGGAGACTCGGGAGCCTGCTCGGATCCCGCGGGCACCTGCCGCGCCGAGCTGGCGGCCGCGGGTGCCGAGGAGCCCAGCTGCGCCGGCGGGCTCAGCAGCAGTGGCAGCGACCCGAGCCCTCCTGGGCAATCGCCGAGCCTGGACTCCCTGGGGTCGTTCTCTAACCTGCATTCGTTCCCCAGTAGCTCCGAGTTCAATAGTGAGGAGGGAGCCGAGAACAGGGCTCCCGAAGAGGAGGAGGGCGCCGCGGCGCTGCCGGGAGCCGCTCCTCTGTGCCGGGAGGAGGAGGACGGGGAGGAGGCCGCGCAGGTGCTGGCAGCCTCCAAGGACCGCTTCCCGGGACAGTCTGTCTATCACATCAAGTGGATCCAGTGGAAGGAAGAGAAAACACCCATCATCACCCAGAACGAGAACGGACCCTGCCCTTTGCTGGCGATCCTCAATGTTTTGCTTCTGGCCTGGAAGGTACATTCTGTAGCGTTCTACTTCCTACAGCTTTTGGTGGGGGAGGGAGGGGAGGGGAGGCCAGGGGGAGACCGGGAAGGGAGCTGCCCCATGCCCTCTGATCGCTTCCTCCGTCCCTTTCTCGTTCATAAATCCCCTTTCACTCTTACCTGAAATGCCTTCCAGGACTCCTTTGTCGAAGCAATGTTTCCAGGTATATTTCAAGAAGAATTGCCCTCCCAGGTCCCTCTTGTTGTATTTAAACCGAAGATCAGCATTCAGTTGTGTGTTTGATACTTAATAAATAGGAATGTAGAGCGTTCTAAACCTATAATTATCTTAAATTATGTTACTGTTACTCCTCGTTACTGACTTAATCTGACATATGCAAAGTTGTCGGACCTCACGCTAGGAGTTAAGTCATGATGGTGGAGCAAGTTTTAATGGTTAGGTAGGTCAGTTTTTATCAGCTTGCCTCCCTTGGGCCGGGATACTTAAAGGACTGGGGCTAGGGAAGATGTGGCTCTTTAGACAACTTCCATTTAAGGCAAAGCGTTGGTGTGAGACCCAATTACCATTGACTTCTTGGGTTTGTTTTTGTTTTTTTTTCAAAGTGTATGCCTTCATTTCATGCATGGTTATTACGTGCCATATTTCTTTCGCTTTACTTAGATGGTTTGACATCATTACCAATGGCCATTCACCAGAATGTGCCAAGGAGCTAAAATTATCGCACCTGAAATAAGAATATAAAAAATAAGGTAAAGGAACCCAAAAAAGGGAAGTGCCTTTGTAGAGTAATTCTATTGAGGGAATAGAGTGAGTTACCTATCAGTTAAAGGTCTTAGTGGAAACTTAACACTTTTAGGATGTGGAATGGGTGTATTGCATAGCAAATATTGTAGATTCAAATTGAGAATCATATTTGTATGTAAAGAGTTCCCTACGGTGGGGGGGGGCGGGGGGCAAACCTTGGTTTATTCTCACCAGTTAGGAAGAAAGTTAATAAAGCAAAAAGTATTGTGTAATTTCATCTTCTTATTACTAGCCAAGACCAATGCAAAAGAAAGATTAGAATTCTTGCCAGCACCTGATAGACAATGCCACTCACATATGCTTCCCGTAAAGACATTGCCTACTCTTGAGCTGCCAGGCCTTTTGGGGCTGCAGCATTGACTTATAAGAAACTGTTAACAGAACAATGCGAAACAATGCCTTCAAAATATCATATCGCATGAAACGTATTGAATATGCATTAGGTATCCACAAAGGAAAATAAATATATTCCCAAAGACCTTAATGGAATTTGTAGGTCTTGGATCAAGCTTTTAAGGAAGAGCAAAATTCAGAATAGAATAGAACTTGCTTTGGGAGGTAATAAGGAGCTTTGGTGGTGTAGTGGCTTCTGCATTGGGCTGCTAACCATGAGATTAGCAGTTCTAAACCACCAGCTGCTCTGTGGGAGAAAGATAAGGCTGTCTACTCCTATAAAGAGTTATAGTCTTGGAAACTCATAGGGGTAGTTTTGTCCTGTTCTGTAGGGTGACTATGAGTGAGAAATGACTTGATGGCGGTGAGTTTGAGTTTTAGAACATAATAGTATGAAAGGAATGAAAATAGAATGGATTTTGTAAGTGTGAGTATTTATTGAATGGTGGGAATGAAAAGTTCATTTTGGAAATTACTAGAAAATAAGATTGAAAAGGTAAAGTAGTCTGATGATGGAGGTCTTTGTCAGGCCAGGGAATTAGTCTTGGCCCTGTAGGCCCAAGTCCCCAGTCTTTTTGTGGGATGGGTCCCTATTTGTTTCCTTTTGACTTCTAAAAAATTTCATTGTGATACCAATATACCTAACAAAACATGTCCAGTGATTTCTTTTGTTTTTTAAATCAACGATTTTTGCATATATTATTCAATGACATCGATATTCCTTGTGTTGAACAACTATTAACATGTTCCTTTCTGAATTTTAACCACCATTAACATAAGCTCAGTATTTCCTGTGCAAAAGTTTCCCTTTTTTCTTCTTCCTCTGGTAACCACTAATAAATTTTTGTTTCTATTTATTTGCCTATTTCAAATAAGTACATTGTTTACATCACATAATCTTTTCAAGGTTCATCCATGTTGTGAGATGCACCGGGAGTTTATTTCTCTTTGTCTTGTGAGTATATTCCATTGATATATGTATTTCATTTTGTTCATCTGCTGATGGAAATTTCGGTGGTTCTCACCTCTTGGCTGTTGTGACTAGTGCTACAGTGAACACTGGTGTATAGATCTGTCTGCAATCCTGCTGTCAGATCTTTCAGTCTATCCTTAGGATTGGGATTGCCAGGCTATGTGATCGTTCTCTGTTCAACTGTTTGAGGAACCATCCCCACTTTTGTACCATACCATTTTGCATTCCCACCAGCAATGGGCAAGGTTTCCAATTTCCCCACACTCTCATCTGTGACTGTTGGTTTGATCCCAGCCCTCTGCCAGAGGCAGGGTAATTGGTATCTCTTGGTGGTTTTGATGTGCGGTTCCCTGTGTCAGAATCCACTCACCAGCGAGGTTTTTTGTTTTGTTTTGGTAATGACCCATAAAGGAGTCCTGATGAGGCAATGGGGAAGTGCCTGACTGCTCACCAAAAGGTTGGCTGTTGAATCCACCAGAGGCTTCACCAGAGAAAAACTGGATGATCTACTTCCATAGAGTCTGTATTCCTGGGAAACCTTATAGAGGCAATTCTCATCCACATGGGGACTGCCGTGTCAAAATCAGCTCAGTGATCCCTGACAACACGAATGGCTCATGAAGTTCAGCGTCTTTTCATGTGCTTGTTGGCCATTTGTATGTCCTCTTTTGTCAAAGTCCTGTACTCACTTTTAAATTGCTTGTTTCTTTGTTGTTAAGTAGTTGAAGTTTTTGCACTATATGTTTTGGATAACCAACCTTTATCAGATATTTGATTCCCTATCATTTTCTTTCAAGCTGTAGGCTGTCTCCTCATTTGGGTGATAAAGTCCTTTGATGAACAAGTGTTTCATTTTTAGTGAGGTCCCATTTATTTATCTTGCCATTTGCTACTTACATCTGACGTCATATCTGATCTCATATGCGATACCCCACCGCCTTCATGTCCACTGTGACGCCGTGGGACAGAGTAGAACTGTCTTTATGGGAACACAGCCTCATTTTTCTCCCCTGGAAAAAGAGTCCAGTTGTTTGAACCACTGACCTTGTGGTTAGCAGCCTACCATACCACCGGGCCTCCTTGTCATCCATTGTAAAAAAGGTTCCTTCAGACTTGTCTTT